ACACATGGAAGCACATACATGACAGACACACACATATCAAACACAGAGAAACAGAGATACATGTCAGAGACACACACATAACAGAGACAGAGAGAGACACACACGACAGAGACAGTGACTTGCATGTCAGAGTCAAATACACACAGATCAGAAGCAGACATATTCATGTGAGAGACAGAGACATACATCTTACATATTAGACACTAACACATATATAGTATGTCAGAATCAAGCACATGCATATAAGTTTCACAGGTACAAATGTTACATATTACAATCAAACACATGAATGGTAGCACTAGATGTACATGCATTGCAGTTTCGAATCAGATGTATGTTTGTCACATGTAGGCATTTGTTTTAAAACCAGAGCCACACCTGTTACAAATGCAGACATATACAATGTTTCATATTTGTGTGTTTCATAAGGCCTCATTACACACATATTAAAGCCTGTTACATACATGCTGTATGTAGACATATTACAGGTGCAGTTATAAAATATTCCATTTACACTTCAGTATTCTGTGACTGTGCTCGCACAGTTCACTGCATCTTTTTTTTTAGAAACAATGCAACTGAAGTGGAACAGTGCATGAAATAATTGAGTTTAAAATGAATTGTGCATTGTAAATTGACCCCTAGCCATCAGATTCTCCTTCAGGAGGTCAGCTTTACCATCTACATCAGCAGACCCTTCTCTCCAGATAGCTTAGTGCCCACACTTTACTTTGTTGATCCCCAGAGACCATGGTCCCAAAGACACCATGGCCCATCTAATAACACCTTTGATTCCATTGTGTCTTTCAGACATTCTTGCCCTGTCTCACTTCTATACCACCAATCTCGAGAGCCCACTCCCACACACCCACCCTGGCACTGCCATTGAAACCAGTTCTCTTTTCCTCAAATTGCAAGCATGCAATGCTGAAAAATATGATCCATGCTGAAGTTACTATAGTGGCTCTCTGTGTGGGAGGAGCATGGTATCTACTGTGGTATCCTGACAAATTCAGGATGGCATTAATTATAATAAATATATTATACAATCCTGCGAAGACTAGATGTTGGCTAGAAGATTGGACAAATGTTAGAAAGAAGCCATGAATCACTAAAAGGGTAATGAGAGAGAAATTAGAATATGAGAGAAAGCTAGCTAGAAATATTAATAAAAAGATAGTAAGAGTTTCCACAAGATTTAAAAAGGGAAAGAATAACTGAAGAGAGTGTTGGTCCCTTCGAGGGTGAGACTGGGCAATTCACAATGGAAAACAAAGAAATGGTGAGAGCATTAACAAATGTTTAGTGTCCATCTTCATTGGAGATGACTTGCCCATAGAAGGCAGAGGGTAGTGGTGGAAGACTATTTTTCTGGCTGGAGGTCTGTGACTAGTGGTGTTCCACAAGGATGCTGGGCCTTTTGCTGTTTGAGATGGAAATAAATGACTTGGATGAAAATGTAGATGAGTGGGTTAGTAAGTTTGCAGACAACACAAAGATCGGTGGAGATAGTAAGAACCTCCGATGCTGGAGTCTGAGATAACAAGGTGTGGAGCTGGAGGAACACAGCAGGCCAGGCAGCATCAGAGGAGCAGGAAAGCTGACGTTTTGGGTCTGGACCCTTCTTCAGAAATTCTAGACCCGAAACATCAGCTTT